AAATTGCGTTTATGAAATAAAATTAGCGTTAGTGTTCAGCATATGAACATGTGGTACGTGTTCATTTATATTCGTGTCAAAATGTTTAAAAAGTGTCAAAAGTTTACGTTTAATTTGCGTTTAGAAGTCCGCTTTTACAGTGTATTTCTCTGTGGCGAGATAGTAAATTAATCTGGAAGTACAAAAAGCAGGGGTGGAGGGCGAACATCGACGCAGGGTGGACTTTAGGATGAGAGCTATATAATTAAGATTGATTATGACTGTGCGTCAGCCTCAGAAAGGGGTAATAGAAATTTAAGTGGGAAACATTTTCTGGAGCTGTCTGCATCCTAAAACGGGAGGAAAACTGTAACATTAATTTCTCGTTGTCTGAGTGAAAAAGCCCCTTTATACCGTCATAATATGACAAAACCTTGTTCTCAATCTGTTGTCATGTGCCAATTAAAGCTGTTCTGAACTTCTGAAATCCAATTTATGTCCCAAATATCAGATTTCATCTGATTTGAATTAGCAGCAGAGTAATTCCAGGGGACAAAAAAATGTATTCAAGGTTGTACGACGATGTATATATAGAACTTTACATCGTACAAGCCTCATATGAAACGCCTAAGCAGTGTAAAGTTCAATTTCATTATAGATGTTGCTTTGCCTCACAGTTAGCGCCTCAAGCTGTGAATTATATTTTTGTATTTGGTAAGAGACATCGTAAGTACAGTAGACACAAATAACATTTATATGGTCGCACTCTTGCTCGACAAGCTTTATATTACTGGTTGGTTCAGATAATTATAGTCTAAGGGCATTTATCACAAACTGAAACAATACAGCATCCATTACTGTAATGTAAAAACAAATATTCTTGAGAACTAGGATATCGATTATATATATCACTCTCTCTTGGAAACTAACAGAATTTTTGAGATCTGAAAGTTAATTCAAGATTGAAAACAAGCCCCGAAGTATGAAAAAAATAAATAACATTTTGCAGTTGATATTTATAGGCCATGACATGATGGGAACACTGCGTTTCTACTGGTTCACAAACAAGAAATTCACTCGTTAAACGACCCCTACGACTCGAAGGTGCCCATTGAAAACAGAGTGAAAACAGCATGTGCACTGACCAATAATATGCAAGTCCACATTCCTTGGTTTCCTTAAACAAATTTCAAATATCATTTTGTCCTTAATCTTCCGAATTCTTTTCATTTTTGGTGGAATAGCGATATTTATTTATAATCATTCAAATGTACAAAATCACCCAGAATAGTGATAGTTTCGTAATCTCCATGTTGCAGCCATTTTCAAATGGCATGCCTATGGCTCAATTTTTGAGCACTAAAGGACAATTTTCCAACTATTTTTATTCATTTAGCTCTCAGGTGGAAGCCCAAAGAAGCAGGACGTTGATCCTGACACATTATTTACATAATCTCACCATTTTGGGTGCCCACCAATCTACTTGTTGAAAAGATACTGCGGGGTATTTTTCATGGTAGGCCTAATGAGCTGGCCAGAAAGTAACACTTGAATGAGTGGACTGTACCAATCGCTTACCAACAAAAATGAACGCTCCCAACTATTAAACATGGCTCTTTTCAGCTGATAAGGGGACGCTTCTGCGCAAGGCAGATATGCTCAGTTATGGTAAGATGCAACACGCGTGCCTGGGAAGTGGCTGCAGCAGCTTTATATCATGAACGATATGCGGCAAAAGGGGACCCCCACCCTGTGATGCTCAAGCTGTATACCCTAAGACTATTGTGCCTACTGCACCCCCCCCCCGAAATCTGAAAGGAATTCCGAAGATTCCATCAACACAAAAGAAGACACACTAGAGGGGGGTCCCCCTTTGCCGCATATCATGCATTGTAGGAGTAGCTTGGCTTTGGCTATCATAGACCCTTTTCCAGCTGCAGTCACAGCATGCAAATGCAGCCTATCTACGTGTTTAAACTTAAAGCTAGGACGTATAGCAGTTATTAGCCCATTTGCGGAAGGCGGGCACAAAAGGTGCGCTATTTGGTTTGGACGTACATCTTTTGGGTTTACTCCAAATTGTACCTACTAAAAAATAGCGCACCCTATTATGTCGACGATGCATCAAAGGCCAATAGAAGTATTTCAATTCACAAATTCTCTCTACATTAGCAGGTTATAATTATACTCAACGAGTCTTAGCCCAAAAATACTGCAATCGACCCATCTGCTCATCCCGCCCATGGTTTTTATTTTAAACTGGAGACAACAGTTTTGAAAGAGGACGCCCTTTTGCTTGCAATCTCCATAATTATACCCAAGGCTGTAATAAGGAACAAGGATGTTAGAAACATCGATGCTAGTTTGCGACTGTTGGAAGTATTCCTGACTTGTAATGACAGTCCAAGGCTAGTGTCCTCGGTTTCCAGTTCTTTTTAGTTTATCTCATGAGGCAGCGTCCTCGCTGTGTGTATGTGCTTGGGTGTGCGAGTGCATGACGCACAAGATGGAGCACCCAATCCTGTCAATTCATAAGTACTTTTTCGGTTTACTCCCTTATCCATCGCATTTCACTTTCCCTTAATTACAGTGGAGAATACATAAAATAATTATGCATGTACATGGACGCAATGTGGTGTGAAAAATACGCATATGGAATGGCACATGTACCAGCACCCATCCCCCACTCAAAGTGTACATCTTTTCCTATTCCAATAGTTCCATTGCCACACCTGGTAAGTGGGTTATGTATGTGATTCAACTACGTCTAACAACCATCAAAATGTAGCACTGGGAAGCTTGCTGGATCAGTCTAAAAGCTACCTTTAATACTCTCTTGAACAATATGGCAAAAAAGCCAGCAGATTACACCACACCCTCCGCCACAGCAAACAATTTTAAATTCGGTGCATTGAAAGACCTCTGCTGCCACAAGACCTGCAATTAGGCCGCCTACCACGGCTATTATTTCTTTGCACATTGTTGGTCCTCAACTCCGGAATGCCTTCCAGCTGAAACAAACCACAAAAAAGGTAAACATCTAAATCAGTTATTCTTTTCCTTATCGGTATTGTCTGCGGCCTTATTCACATGTCTGTTGGCAGAATTTTCCAGCTGCAATATCCACTTCGATTTTTGGACCTTATGCCACGCCTGTGTCGGCTGGCTTCTCGAAAAGGAAAAAAAAAACAATAAACACACAAACAGGATGCAGGATGGTGTCTTGTGGTTTAAATTAGGAAAATTGGAATTTCAGGATGACAATCCATACTTTCCAACTGTCATTCTCGTAACGAAAACTAAAGTGAGAATTGAATCTCACAAAAATCGTTTCAATTTCCGCCACGACACACCAAACAGGCATAATAGACGCAGATGAAAGGTTAATGGCCGAGAAGGGGTGAACAACCTGAAGTTTGATTGTTGGAGTGTCGTGGCCCTGTGGTTAAGAGCATCGGATTCGTAGTTGGCGAGTAAAGGCGCAGGTTGGGGGTTCGAATCCAGCCTGTAGTCATGGTGAGTGTGCCCTTGGGCAAGGTACTTTGTCACTCATTGCCTCTCTCCAATAATAATTGGGTACCTGTGAGGGCAGAGGTGGCTATTGCTGTTGATTTAGCTTCTTTGCACCGAAATGGCAGCATCGAGCTGCCCCAGGGAGCTGAAATAGTATTTGGAATGTTTCATGGGTTTTCTGAATGAGTGCGCTATATAAATCTAAATTATTATTACTGCTGTCAAAAAGACCAATCTAAGCATGTAAGCACTCAATACTCTAGAATATCATAACCTATTTATATAAAAAAAGAGGCAGGGCTTTCCGAGTACTGGGTACCGGTACATTTGAGAATGCGCTCAGATCGGTCAATCCAATGGGCCTCGAGCTGGACCAAGAAAGGGCGCTATTCTCTTGGCAACAGAGACTCCTTTGATAGGAACTGAGCATAACTGGTTTACGAACGACTTGGAAATGCACGTGTCGCAGTTGCATCGGTGCCAATAAAATGACCACTCCCGACCACCTCGGTGCTTTCAACCAATGAGGGGGCGCTTCTGCTCAAGGCGGATTACAGTGGAACCTTTGATTAGGAAAACTGCTCTGAAAAAGGTACAACTTCAACAACTGAAAAAATCGCACAAATTAAATGGTTGACTCTTCATAACAATTTTTTAAAAACGAATGACCTTCAACAAAAGTATGGAGCTCACCTCACGGGAATTTTGACTGATTCCTCTTGATCCGTAAAGAGAGGTCCAAAATAATATTGATGTATCGGTTGTCTCCTGCGTTTTCCCTTGAATATGGTACAGTTAAAATTAAAAAGGAGAAAACTTTATAGTTGAAATTTATGTAGACCGCCTACGTTGACCACGGTGAAAAAAAAATTGCTGACGCTAGACTGAATAGAAACATCTCACACAACCTCACGCCCTCGGCAGGCTTCGAGTTTCGCAAACTAAAAGTCCAGCTCTTTCAAAGTCTAAACAAAGGTACACTTCTGTGGCGCGAGCATGTTTTTCGTTATATTTAGGACTTACGGGTCACCCTGCATGAATGTGACCGTGTTTGGTAAATTAAAACGTGGACGCTGACATGTTGAGCCCCAGGCACCAGAGGAAGAATTGCATATTGGACCATCATAACGTTGTGTCAAAAAAAATGGAAGGCTTGTTGTACCTATGGGGAGAAAAAAAGTGGGAGTAGCCTTTTTGTGTCTAATAGTGTTCCAACGGGCTGAAACTCAGTTTCAGAGTATACGCTATCAGTGGCGAACGACTGGTAGTGGGAAATCCCCCAATGAGAAATACAACATAATAAGCTTCGGGGAGGTAGGTGCAGAGTCCAAGGTCGCCGGGCTAGTCTCCCGGTATTTGCACAGTTCGTCTCCCGATCAGTTTAAACAGATGCCTTTTTAAGAATTCGCTCAAATTTAAGAGTCCTGTACATGCACATTCCACACTTCAAATAGCCCCCTCTAATATAAAGCCATATATTAAACTCTATTGGTCTGGTTGTAAATGAAGCTCATCCTCCGGGAACATCTCATAAATCACGTCCAGTTAAAATATCCATGTGGTCCTGCCTTTAAAGTTAAAATACAAGGCGTTCAGGTAGCATTTGTCATAATTAAAAAAATATAAAATAATGGATTTACTTACCAAACTTTCCAATAATGAAGGAAGTCTTACGGCGTGCTGCAAAGCTGTGTGATGCCCACACGTCTCCTTGAGTCTCGAGTGAACCTCCGTGTCGTGGCCACAAACCCTAGTGCGACTACGCACACCTAGTTTACAAATCCTGGCTTCGTCGACGCTCATGTATGAATTCAGTGTTTTGGGATAAATGTTAAATATTCACTGCTACAACTCAACGAAATTATACCCAGCTTTGGCTTTGTTTAGACAACTTCAATTTAATCAGAAAATAAAGTAAGAAATACCCCACAAAAACGTGGCTGCACTGAGCTAGAGGGTGTCCGTACTTTTTTTGACTGTTTTGAACCTAAGTCTGAAGCGCGCCGCGGCTGGTGACAGAGCCAACAATTGTAAATCCCGTGCACATTTGGCCAGAAACGCCCTTGGCTGAAGTATTGTGATGTTTTAACCCCCCCCCCCCTTCCCCATCCAAGACCTGGATTCCCCACTCTGCATTTTTTTTTCAAATTCCAAATTCATCGAGATCTGTTCCCGTCTGTGGAACCACAATCACTTTAAAACATGTCATGTTGTCACCCAGCGGACATCGTTCCAAATTTTTCCTCTGCATGAATTTAATGAATGGTGACCTAGAGGGAAAAAGGTCGGCTTGAGGAACCCAAGTAACCCCCGCCGATAACAAATCCGAGTTGCGCAGAGTGAACAAAGCAATCCATTTTTCCCCCTCGATGTCAACAGCACAATCGATTTTTGAATACAAACCACTGACATTGTTGGTATTACTGTGGCCTGTAGATCTTGATTCAGGCAGTCAATGAACACATTATGCAAACACACCAGCCTGGGCACATTGTGCACATTGTGGTCTCCCTTATAAAATTCAATATACGTGTACTGATAACTTCCGTTATTCAACAATTCATCAACTAGGATCAGTCTGTGCCCCTTCTTTCTTGCTTGTCCAAATTCAATGCCACACCGGCATTTCGTTAGGTTGGGGAAAACCAGAAGTGAGAAACTGTTCGCGTGGTGCCACCTCAATGGTGGATCACACAGACTGGTCTAGTAACATGGTTGTATTACTGCAATGAACATTATTAGCATACCAGCCAAGGCAAATACGCCGGCGGCCACTTTACCTGAGAATAACGCTTTACATTCAGGCGATGACGTATCCAGCTTTGGGTGTTGGGGGGGGGACTCAAAAACAAATGCACTTTCGTGCTCATTCAATATGATAATGGGAGAACCTAGCCTATTTATTTGATCAATAAATTTACCGATTAGTTTCTTTCCTCCTCACCTATTAAGTATTCTCAGTTAAATCCGGGGGGGGGGTTGCCCCTCTGTCCCCCCCCCGATAAGCCACTGCATTCAGGCCTCATACTTTGGATAGAAATATCACTGTTACATTATAATTTATGTATTCAATATCCTGCTTGATTCCACTGTGTTTTCTGTTGTCTTTTTAAATTCTATAATTTGATTAGATTTGATTTTTTTTTCAGGCACAGGTCAGGCCATTTCTCCCCGAGACCTGCATTTTCAACCGTGAGGACAGTTTAGCGCCCAAAGACTCGGAGACCTCCCGAGATGGCTCCGATGGCTCCAGACACGGCGTAGCCCGCAGCTCCTACGTGCCCACTGCCGGCCCCAACAGACTGGAGTGTGACCACGACTCCCCCGGCTGCCACGCAGCCCCCGTTCGCGAGGGCCGATGCAGACATCATTTTGGCCCCCACTGATCCGGCAGCTATTTCCGACACCGTGAAGCCGAGTAAGGCTGGCCCGTAAGTCATGACGGCCAGGCTGACTGTCCCAACAACAAGCACAGTCCTTACAACCCTCACTCTGAAAGTCATCTGGGAAAAAAGTCAGTCCAACAGCTAGATTAACCACTTCAGTGCTGGGACCCAGTATGCACAATCGGAAATAATAAATTTTGAATAGATTACCCAAGTAAAGAAATGATGTGTCCTCGAGTATGCCCCTTTGAAAAAGGAAATGAAGTGCAACAGCCAATGGCACAAATGGAAACGAGACTTATTGCTGGGAACATTGGGACTGCGCGAGTTGTGGGGACGGTTTTGATCCCAGATCGTACATTTGAGGGTTGGTCCAGAACAATAAAGGGGACAAAAATTCTTTTACAGTTGAAAACATTACGAGATTTTTTTTTAATTAAATGGAAAACAATTCTCTTCAGAATGTCCCAGATTGGATGCTGTCTCTATTGCATAGAATACGTTCATGCACTGAGATGGTGAGCACTGGCAAACGATGACTATTCCAAGACCCAACAGCTGGATAAGCCGCTTTGAGCTGTACTAAATTTGACACTGCTCTACGATAAGCCTACGCTTCATTACCACTGACTTTCCTGTCACTGCCTGTGATTATTATGTCAAGAGCTTACCTCCTCTTTTTACAGATAGTTTTGCTCGGTAAT